GGTGGAGGTGATGGAGGTGGAGGTGGAGGTGGAGGTGGAGGTGGTGGTGGTGGTACTGGTGGTGGATGCAGAGATGGTGGAGGTGGAGGTGATGGTGGACCAGGTGATGGAGGTGGAGGTGGAGGTGACCCGGAGGTGGAGGTGGTGGTGGTGGTACTGATGGTGCATGCAGAGAGATGGTGGTGGTGGAGGTGATGGTGGACCAGGTGATGGTGGCGGAGGTGATGGAGGTGGAGGCGAAAGTGGTAGAATTATTGCAGATGGTGGCGGTGAGGCGACAGCCAGGGCAGGGTGGGAGTCACGTGGAAGAGGCAGTTACAGCAGCACCTTTGTTGGCTGCTGGGTGAGTCCAGGGCTTCTTCCCCCAGCTTCCCATGCCCCAGTTCTGCGCTCAGGTAGGTCCCTTCTCTGGGAGCCTCCGTGTGCACCTCTGTAGAAGGGGCCCATACCCTCTCCCTCCCTTCACCTGTGCTTCAGTTTTTGAGGGTTTGTGCCCCCTGCAAAGGGCTGGCCCAAGGACCTTGGCCTTTGGGGCTGGAGAGGAGCCGAGAGGCTGCTGATGGGGGCCATGGATGGGGACCCTGGGCGGCCTCTCCTCAGCACCCTGTCCCCACGGGCAGGACCGCCAGGCCAGTGGGGGAGGGCAGCAGTGACCAAAGCTGCGGTAAACAGCTCCGACTGGAGCGATCGATCGATCGGGGCTGTGAGGAGCTGTAATTGGATTGAACGCCAGCAAGGGGGGGAGCCGAGCCGCTTTTTGCTGCGATCGACAAAAAGCGAAGTTTTTTCACGACTCGGCTGGCTGCCCCTCCCCCAGCCTCGCCTCTGCCCCCATTAGCAAGGAAGAGGCGAAGCTGGGAAGGGGGTGGGGCGGGCAGGGAGGGTCCCATCTCACCTCCCTCCCCATCTGGACTGGGCCTTCCCATCTCTGAGCAAGTGAGAAAGTCCTCGCCTTATGGAATTATTACAAGGATTAGCAGAATCTGTGGAAGGCTCTTGGGAGTCCCTGGGTGGCACAACTGGTGAGGCACTGGACTATTAGCAGAAAGGCTGGTGGTCTGAGCCCGTCCAGGGGCGCCTCAGGGAAAGGCCGGGTATATCCACTTCTGAAGGGTCCCAGCCTTGACAGCCGTGGGGACCTGTTTGAGTCTGCACATGTGGGGCCACCAGGAGTTGGAACTGACTTGCAATTCACAGCAAGGCTCTTGGCATGTAAACGTGTGAGCTTTCCAAAGGACATTCAAATCCCTGCCCCTAAATTAATGTACAAAGACTCTAAGTAAATGACAAGGCGAATGAATAAGCCAGTGCTGAATGAACTGGGGTCCCCACCGGAGGCAAGATGGCACCCTGCTGAAAGGCGACTCCCTCCAGACCCGCTGCCCAAAACCTCCCCTTGTCCTTTCAGAGGAATGGGAGATCCCCCCCAACCTCTGGGACCCTCCCAGGTGGCCAGGGCCGCAGAAGGTGGGCAGCCAGGGCAGTGTCTTGTGCTTCTATCCAGGATTTTCCTTCTTCCGCTCCTCCTTCGACGCAGGTGCATTTTATTTATAAACTTGCGCTGAGTTGCGAAAGGAACCCTGGTGGTGTAATGGTTAAGTACTGAGCTGGTAACTAAAAGGTTGGTGGTTCGAAACCCCTCAGCTGCTCTGCGGGAGGAAAAGATGTAAAGATGACAGGAAAACCGGTAGGCGGTTCCACTGTGAGTGGGGATCGACTCAACAGCACCCAGCACCAAGAGTGAGCTGCAAATCCCACCGGTGGAAGTGAATCGTGCGAGGGTTTGCTCAGTGGATCGGTTCGGGCACCCCAAACCCATTTTAACTTGGAGACGTCTAGTTTCCACGCAGATGTGTTAGTAGGTGCCATTGAGTCGACTCCGACCCATAGCAACCCCGTGTACAAACGAACGACACGGCGCCCGCTCCCACCTCACAGCCCTTGCTGTGCTTAGCTCATGGTGCAGCCCCCTGTCGGCCCTCACTGCACGTGTTCCCGTTTCACTGACCCTCTGCTTTGCGGAGTCGCTGTCTCTCTCCAGGGACCGGTCCCTCCTGATGGCGCGTCCTGAGTGGGTCTGGCCATCCTCGCTCCTCAGGGCCATTCTGGTTGCAGTCCTGCAAGGCAGACTTGTTCCTTCTCCGGTAGCCCGTGGTCCATTCCCTATCCTTCTCAGCGCCACCACTGACCCCAGTCCCTGCACCAGCTGCCCTTTTCCTCCTCTGTCCTGCGTCCTCTTTCCCAGCTGGAGCCCAGTGTTTCTTTATGCAGACAAAACACAAACAAGGACTCTCATCCCCTCTTCCGTACAAAAGGCCGCCTACTACACGGCCAGCCTGGCAGTGTCTTACGGTCCTTCCATCCCTCCAGGTCCAGGCCCACACCCGCCCCTCGTCAGCATCTAGACAGTTGCAGCTGCAGCTGCCTGAACGAACATCCAGTGTGAACACGGCCGTGTGTGCCGCCTGCCGGCACCAGCGTCGCGTGTGCCTCTGCGTCGTGTTTGGGCTGTGTTCTGGCACATTCGCCCCACTCTGTCTTCCCAGCCTTACGCTGAATTGCTCTAGTCCAGCTGTGTCACGAGTTTAGAGGCCCCGGTGGTCACGCACCCTGGCTCCACGGGAGCTGAGAGCTGGTGGCCGGGTCCTGTGAAGACACGCCCTCTGGAGCGGTTCTACTCTGTCCTGTTGGGTCACTATGAGTCCGAAGGGACTCAACAGCACAAGAGCCCTGTTTGTGGGTTGTCAGGTGTTGTTAGGCACCATCAAGTCTGTTTCCACTCATGGTGACCCTGTGCAACAGAAGAGACCGCCCCTTGAGGGTCCTCCTCTGTCGCTGACGGTCTGCTTTGTCAAGCCTGATGCCCTTCTCCAGGGACTGCTCCGTCCAGGTAACGTGTCCAAAGTCTGTGAGCAGCCTCGCTCGCCGTGCTAGGTTCTCAGGAGCATCTGGCCGTACTTCCTCCAACACAGATGGGTTTGCTCTTCCGGCAGCCCACGGTGTGCTTCACATTCTCCCCCAACACCACAAGCCAGAGGCACCAATCTTCTCCAGTCTTCGTCATTCACTGTCCAGTTTTCACACGCCATTGACATAATGGAAGGAGCTCTGGTAGCTCAGTGCCTAAAGCACTTGACTGCTAACCAGAAGGCTGGCGGTTCAAACCCACCAGCCACTCCTTGGAAGGAAGGTTGGGCAGTCTACTTCCGTAGTGATACCGCCTCGGAAACCCAAGGAGGGGTCCCTATGAGTCAGGGCCGACTCAACGGCACATAACAACAACAACATGAGATAATCGACAATACCATGGCTTGGGTTCTTCAGAGTGACATCTTGGCTTTTTAATACTTTAAAGAAGGCTTTTGTAGCAGATGTGTCCAATGTAATATGCTGTTAGGTTTCTTGACTGCTGCTTCCTTGTGTGTTGATTGTGGACCCGAGTCAAATGAAATCCCTGACAACTTCGACCTTTTCTCTGTTTATCATGATGCTGCTTAGTGGTCCAGTTGTGAGGATTTTTGCTTTCTTTGTGTGGAGGTACAATCCACACTGCAGACTGTAGTCTTTGATCTTCATCAGTAAGTGCTTCAAGTCATCCTCACTTTTGGCAAGCAAGGTTGTGTCATCTGCATATCGTAGGTTGTGACTGAGTCTGCCTCCAATCCTGATGCCATGTTCTTCTTCATATAGTCTAGCTTCTTGGATTATTTGCTCAACATACAGACTGAATAAGTATGGTGAAAGGATACAACCGTGATGCACATGTTCTTACTTTCAGCCAAACAATAACATTTCATGTATTTAAATTCTAAGAGCATTTTCTTACTCTAATTGTTCTTTTATTTTTCACAGCATCCTGTTCTTGTTTCATGAATGTGGTATTCCTTCTTATCTCTCTGAGATTATTACAATGTCTAAGACCATCTTGAACTCCCTGCTTTGTCTCTTTCTCTCAAGTATCTCCCCCCGCCCACGGTTGTTCTCTCTTTTTCATGTTAGAGCCTTTTCCTAAAACGTCTGATGACTGTCACTGTTATTTAAGCTTAAAACCTGAAATAGCCAATTAGGGGCTCTGTGTGTTCCTGGTGGAAGGGAGGGAGCATGGCAGGGTGTCAGCTCACACAGGAAATGCGTGACACTGTTGTCTCTGAGAAATGAGTCACAGTGTAGGGCACATTAATTTCTTTCTGTGAATGTGTGTGGACGTTGATCTGCCGGCTGGTCTGGGATGTTCCGGAACCAAAGTAAGCTGGCTCAGGGTGCAGGCCCAGCAGGCTGCCAGGGCGGACAGCGCAGGCCTGCTAATCCACCCTGCTCCATCGGCTGCTGACTGCGCGGGGGGCAGGGGCGTCGGCAGGAAGCTGGCGAGGACAGACCTCCAGCACCCCCCCCACTGGTATGTGGGAGAGATACGGAGAACACCCGGGGAGGCAGCCCACCCTGGTCATTGGAACTCCTCTTTTCCACCACGGCCCCGCATGGAGGCGAAGGGGTCTGCTGGGAGCTGGAGCAGGGCCCCGGGCTAGGCATCCTGAGCCGTTGTCTTCCCTTTGGCCAGCGCCTGAGTGGCCCTCTCCCCTGGGGCAGGGAGACAGGCCCTGACCCTCCGTCCCTCCCCAAGGTCGCCCTCCTCAGCTCGCCCCAGCTGCGGAGAGTCCCCTGGGTTCAGGAACAAGGCCAAGTCTGGTCTCAGCTTTCAGATCAGAAGGGACAGGTCATCAGGCCTCAGAGGACAGCGCGAGGAAGGCGACATGAATTATTACAGCCACTCAGAACCAAGTTTCTCCATCATCCTGGACAGACATTGTGGGGGCTTATGCTGTACCCCCAAGTGGTCTTTTGTTTACTGCTTAGCCAACCCAAGTGTGTATCAGACAGCATCTCACATGGAGAGCTTCCAGAAGGAGCCCTGTTGGCTCGGCAGTTAAGCATTTGCCTGCTAACCAAAAGGTTGACTGTTCAAACCCACCCAGCGGCTCTGAGACCTGCCAATCTGCTTTCATAAAGGTGACTAGGAAACTCTATGGGGCAGCTCTACTCTGTCACAGGGAGTCGCCATGAGTTGAAAATCGGCTTGACAGCACCCAGCAACAGAGTTTCCATGTCACCCGCAGAGCCCCCCAGGTTCCAGCTGCGGAAGGGAGGGAGACCTCCGGGCTGTGGAAGCATTTGGGTGGGGAGATGAGGGGTGTGGAAACGTGCGGCAGGGGGACAGCGAGCCTGGGAAGGGTGCTGTTGTGGAGACGGGTTGGAGAGGGTGGTGGCCAGGCCTGCGGAGGTGTGCTCACTCTGTGTCCTCTTCTCTGTCCCCCCATCTGTCTCGTCTCCGCCTGCTCACCCTTTCCTGCTTGTCTCTTTCACCTTTTGGCTGACTCCCGGTTCTTTTCCATGTCTCCTTTCCTATTGTTATTTCTGTGGTTCCCTGTCTCTCCGCCCCTCTGTCCGTCTGTGTGTCCCTGGGTTTCCCGCTCTGCACTGGGCTGTGTCTCTCCCGTGTCGTCTGTCTGCTTGCCTCTCCCGTCTTCCGGCGGTGCACCCTGCCTGCCTTTCTCCGTCCGACCGCGCGGTGGCGCTGCCGCCCGCTCGCCCGCAGCCTGCAAGCGCAAGGAGCAGGAGCAGCAGAAAGAGCGCGCGCTGCAGCCCAAGAAGCAGCGCCTGGTGTTCACCGACCTGCAGCGGCGCACGCTGATCGCCATCTTCAAGGAGAACAAGCGGCCGTCCAAGGAGATGCAGGTCACCATCTCGCAGCAGCTCGGCCTGGAGCTGAACACCGTCAGCAACTTCTTCATGAACGCGCGGCGCCGCTGCATGAACCGCTGGGCCGAGGAGCCCGGCGCCGCCCCCGGGGGCCCGGCGGCAGCCGCCGCCACCTTCTCCAAGGCCTGAGGCTCCTCGGCCCAGCCCTCCGCGTCTCCAGTTCCCACTTCTCCCCATCCCCATTCTGCCGGCCGGAGACCTGCCGCCCGGGGGCGCCTGGAAGGGCGCTCTCCGGGCCCCCCACACCCAGGGAGGGGACATGGCACACCCCCCAGCCCAAGTGCACAAAAAGGGTCCCCCTCCTCCCTCCTTCCCACTCCCCTGCAGGGCAAAAGAAGCCCTTCGCCCCCCTCTGAGGGGAGGGGGCTAACAGAAGGGGTCCCCCAGCCTCCTCTCAATTCAGGACGCCAGGGGGCCTCGAAAAAAAAAAAAAAAAAACCAGGGCTCACTGTGTTGTCCCCTAAAGCGGGTCTAGAAGCACATACTAGAAATATAAACCGGGTATTTAAAAAAAGGAATTTTAAGAATAACCCCTCCCTCGCCAGACCCCCACCCCCACAGAGGGAGGCTGGAAGGGCCTGCCTTCTCCTGCGGCCTCCCGTGGAGAGGTGCTGGGGGCCCTCTCGGCCCCAGCCCCGAGAACCAAGCCCCGTCCACAGTCGCCAAAACCCACGTCAAGCCGGATCCTTTCAAGCCCCACCCACGCCACAAGCCGACCCCCCCCAGTCGGCGGGCAGAACCGCCCCCCAGCCAAGAACTGAGCTGCCCCTCCCAGCGGCCAGGATTCCGTGTGCCAAGAATTGCCTGCCTTAAAGTCTGGGGAGGGGGCCTGGCGCGGCGACCGCCCAGCACCCACAGGCGAGCACGCTTTCCCACCCCGCTGCGGACTGGAGGGGGTGGCGCGCTCAAACATGCGGGTAAATTCCAGGCGCCTCCCCTTCCCCCGACGGTCCCTCCGTTTAGTTCACTTTACTTGTAGGCACCTTGATGAATGACACACAGGGAAAGACGTAACCCAGGAAACAAGAGAACAGGCAGATCTCACGGAGGCCAGAACCCAGCGGCAGCGCCGGAGCCGCCCAAAGCCCCCGTGTGCTGGGGCCGTGGGGTTTCTTCCTGCTCGGAGCCCTCTGGAACTCTCCGCCCCACCTCCCAGCCCTTGTGGGCCTCCTGGAGGCGGTGGGGGTGAACCTTGTGTTTGTTCTCTCCCCAAAGGGAGGGAAGATGCTGAGGAAACTGGAATCTGCTTGCTCCATTTTTGCCAAAAAAAAAAAAAAAAAATGACAAGGGGGAGGTGTCAGAGTGAAGATGCACCCTCGCCCCGCTGGTCTCTCGCCTGGGTGACCTCCATGGCTGGTGGGCGACTGGGTCCAGAGAGCCTGCCTCGCGGCCCCACACGGGGTTCAACATGCGGAGGCTTGAAGGACCCCCCAACCTGTCGCGTCTACTGCCTCCCGGGGAAGGGGCCGTCCCCCCTCCCCCTTCGAGAATGCAAAAGACATTTCTAGTGAAATGCCCCCCTCCCCCCAGGTAAAGGCTACCTCACTCAAACGTTCATGTCTGTGATTGGAGAAATCACGCCTGATACCAAAGATTCCCCCCAAGGACTTGTGCTGGATGCTAGAATTCCCTCACCTCCCAACTAGACGTCTGCCAGCCCTCCTCTCCACCAGAGAGAGGGAGAGAGAGAGAGAGAGAGGGAGAGAGAGAGAGAGGAAAGTGAGGTCGAGTGCCTTTTTCTTGAACCAAAGATGTGTGTGGAGTGTTTTCTTGTCCTTATCGACTCACTGTTCCCCCAGTTTTTAAGCAGCTGAATCTGAGTGATGCTTCTAGAACCTTTGGGTATTGGGGCAGAAGCCTAAAAGGAGTCTCCCATCCTGATGGGCAACAGGCCTGTCCCCCCAAAATGCACCCACACAGAGTATACACACAGTGTACACACAACACCACACTGTACACAAACACATTGTACTACACACACAGCAAACACAATACACACAACACTACACATAGCCATGAAAGGTATATACTGTACTACACACACACAACAAACAATGCACACACTACACATACACACTGCATACACACAGTGTACACACAACACACTATACATACATACTGCATATACACACTACTACACACACACAGCAAACAGAACACATACAACACTACACACACATGACATACACACACTACCACACAACAAACACACAACACTACACAGTGTACACACACTACACATACAGTGTACACACAGCACATATACTCTACTACACACACACATCCACAGCAAACAGAATACACACAACACTACACATACACCTGCACACACATAGTGCACACACAGCCCAACGCTGTACACATACACGTTGTACTACAAACACGCACACCGGCTTTTATTCCTTTTCAGGGTATCCTGGGCACTGGGGGCTCCATTCTCCATTTTATCCTGCTTCCCACTCAAACCCGCCCGCCATTCCCGTCCCCCAGCCCTGGGTCCCTGATAGGCAGACAGCCCTGAACTCTGCCCATCCCAGCAGGGCTGACTTACTCACTGGGCATAGCAAGTCCAGTCTTGAAATACTTTCAGAGGCCCAAGTAAATGTCTTAATTTCTTTTAAAATCAGAAGGAAAAAAATGTTTTAATATCCTTGGCAATCTACATCCTTAGTGATACTGCCTCAGAAATCCAAGGAGGGGTCCATATGAGTTAGAGTCGACTTGACGGCACATAACAACATCATCGATACATTTGTCTACCAGTAAAGGAGCTCTGGTCGCACAGTGGTTAAACCTTTTGGCTAATAACCAAAAGGTAGGCAGCTCAAACCCACTAGGCACTGGCTGTGAGGGACAAAGATGAGGCAGTTAGCTTCGGTAAAGATGACAGCCTAGGAAACCCAGTGGGGCAGTTCCACTCTGTCCCCTAGGGGCGCTGTGAGTCAGAATAGACTCCACAGCAGTGGGTGTGGTTTGGGCTTTGCTTCCGTGAAGATTGACAGCCTTGGAGACCCTGTGGGGCAGTTCCAATCTGTCCTCTAGGGGTGCTGTGAGTCGGATTCAACTACAGGGCAGTGGGTTTGGTTTGGTTTTCGTATACCAATGTAGTAGTAAAACATGATTTTAAGTATTATTTTATGGAGGAAGGAGGCTACTAGTCATACCCTGGCCCCATGCCTTTCTCCATAGAAAACTACCAGTCCAGCCCCAGCCACCAGCCAGAGCCTGCGACCACACGGGCCAGGGCTTCTCTGGCGTCCTCTGCTGGTGGCAGCTGACAAGATGTTTGCCTTTCCTGGACCTTATCAGAGGTTAAATTTGCTGGCCCTCCAAGTCCTGAGTTTGTCCCTTTATGGAAAAGTAGGAATTAGCTTGGGATTGTTCTGGTGATGGGATGAAATGGAGAACAACCCTAGCTGGATTGGATCAAATGCCACTGACTCAGGTCACAGAATTGTCCCCAGGGCTCCTGGATCCATTTTACATACAACACACAACACATATATACACACTTGCACGTACACACACACACACACCTGCGCGTACACACACACAACATATATATATATATACACCTGCGCACACACACATATAACACATATATACATCTGTGCGTACACACACAAACACATATATACACACCTGCACGTACACACACACACACACAACACATATATACACACCTGCGTGTACACACACACACACACACAGCAGCTCCCATCCCTCCCCCCAGCCTGGCTGCCCTTCCCCCCCCCGGGATCTCTGCCCTCCCCCTCCCATGGCCCCTTCACCCTCCAGGGCCAGTGCCCGTCCTGGGCCTCCCCCAATACCCAGCTGGTTACCACATACCAAAGACCACCCCCCACTCGGGAAAGGACACCTCCAGCACAATTCCTTCGAGCCTTTGACAATTTTCTCTGAAATACCTCAAAATATTTAATGTATAGTTTATGTGATGAAAAAGAAAAAAAAAAAAAAACCTTAGCTAGTTTTTGGAATATGTGACTTGAAGCTTTATACCGTTAAATTATAATTTTGCAGACGACGGCATGTGGTTTCTTTGACGAGTTCAGTGGAAGACAAAATGAATGTCACTGCGATGGGAGATGGGTGGTCGGAGGCCAAAGACAGAGGGACCATGAGGGTGAGAGGCTGAGAGTGAGAGGCGACCTGCGCGTTTACAGATGTGCTATTTAAACGAAGTCCCAAGTCTGGTAGGAGAGAGAGGAAGAGAGAGTTGGTACACCTTTGTTCTCTGGCGTGCTGTTTCTCGTTTTTTTTGGAGTTGTGTCTTTTAAGAGTATTTACTATTCTATGTGTTCTGTGTTCAAATGTAATTTAAGAGAAAAAAAAAAAAAGGAAGAAAAATGAAAAAAAAAAAGACAAGATGGAATTCGATGCATGACTAATGTAAGCTTTCTTGAGCTGATGTAATAGGTGATGGGTGGGGGGCGGGGCGGGGGCGGGGCCGTGGGGTCGCGGCCCCAGGATTCTATGTCGAATCATCGTTGTACTTCATGGCCGACTTGGTGCTGTCTGGTGGTTCTTTGCGCTGTCCCGTGTCCCTGTCCCCCTTTGGTGGAACTGTGTCTGGGGCAGAGGACGGACCAGGTCAGCAGGAAAGGAGGGGCGCCAAGTCCTGGCACCAGGCCCAGGGTCTCCTGCACCCCCGGTGCCCCAGCCTCCTGACCTTGGTCCTGGAGGGCAGACGTGTGTCATCACCCGGGTGTCGCTTTAGCATGACTTCCTAAGTGTCTTGTTCAGAGGAGACAATCAACAACGAGCCAAGTCTTGTCGCCCAGGTGTGCGTGGGGGGCTGAGTGTGCCCCGACAGCGCCCCCAGATCTGAAGGGTCCTCTGAGGCTCTGGCAGGCACCGGCCTCCACCCTAGGGCACTGCCCCTGCCCCACCCAGGCTCCTCCAGCCTCCTTGGCCCTGGGCTGGGTGTGACTTCCCCTTTCCTCTGGCCCAGGAGGTGGGGGACATCCCTTCCAGCCCACTCTGGGCCCCAGAGTACAAAAGGGCCCCCAGACTCTCAAGAACGGCTTGTGGGCCAAGGTCTCCCTGCCTGTGAGGCCTCATGCCACAAGGCCGTGCCTGTAAGCCACCCCTGAGCTCCTGAAGGTTGGGAGATGGAAAGGGGGGCTTGGCACTCCTTGTGCTTTGTTCCCTGGGAGGCCCAAAGAATTCAGGGAGAGGAAGGGGAGAGGGGTATGTGGGCCCCTTCCAGGACAGGCCCCCAGTTGCAGAGGGTGGGTTGGGATGCCTAAATGGGGTCCCTCACACCCAGTAAGACTGGAGGCCCCATACTGGGGGGCTGGGCCTGGAGCCAAGGGTCCAACCACCCTAAAATGATGCCATGGATGGGGGACACCCCAGGGCCCCTTACGCTCAGCCCCTGCACTGCCTGGAACGTGGGCCATCTCCCATTGCCTTGCCCAAAGTGGTTGGAACAAAATAATCTCCTCAGACTTCCGAGGCTCCCTCCAGTGGCCCCTTCAGGCTCTCCCCGAGGGCTGGTCTTTGGGAAGGGGACTGTCTCAGCTGAAGGTAAGGGAGGCCCAAAAGGCTACATGGTCTTGAGTATTTAGTGGAGATCAGAATCTAGGGGAGACACTCATTGGGTCATCCAAGGGCCAACTCCTCACCCCTAATGCTAGAGGGAACTGAGAAGCCCTCTCTGCCCCCATCCTCAGGCGACAGGCTTAAAACTTAAAAAAAAAAAAAAAAAGTCATCATCACTGTTAACCATTGCTGTGTTGGGTTTGTTGTTTTGTTTTTCTTCAATAAATTATTTTCTAGTCACTCACCTGGGTGTGTTTGTTGGCCAGCGGAAGGTGGGCACAAAAGAGGGCGGGCTGGGATGCACCCACCTGGAAGATGGGGAGGGAGGAAAGGGGCGGAGAGAAGAGGGGCGCTCCCTCTCTGAACACCGCCCTCTTTCTTGGCCACTGGACCTCTCTGAGCCCTCATCTCCACACTGCCCCCACCTTCTGTGGGGCACAGTTAAGAATCAGAGAGACCCATGTTCATCGCAGCACTATTTACAATAGCCAAAAGATGGAAACAACCTAG